TGGTGGATGGGTGAAGGAGGTGGAGGAGGAAGAAGGTGTGAGGGTAGTTGGCTATGGTGGATGGGTGAAGGAGGTGGAGGAGGAAGAAGGTGTGAAGGTAGTTGGCTATGGTCGATGGTTCAAGGAGGTGGAGGAAGAAGAAGGTCTGAGGGTGCTTGGCTATGGTGGATGGGTGAAGGAGGTGGAGGAGGAAGGAGTAAGGGCGGTCGGCTATGGTGGATGGGTGAAGGAGGTGGAGGAGGAGAAAGGTGTGAGGGTGGCTGGCTATGGTGGATGGGTGAAGGAGGTGGAGAAGGAAGGTCTGAGGGTAGTTGGCTATGGTGATGGTTGAAAGAGGTGGAGGAGGAAGAAGGAGTGAGGGTGGTTGGCTATGGTGGATGGGTGAAGGAGGTGGAGGAGGAAGAAGGTATGAGGGTGGTTGGCTATGGTGGATGGGTGAAGGAGGTGGAGGAAGAAGGTGTGAGGGTAGTTGGCTATGGTGGATGGTTGGAGGAGGTGGAGGAGGTGGAGGAGGTGGAGGAGGTGGAGGAGGAAGGAGTGAGGGTGGTTGGCTATGGTGGATGGGTGGAAGGAGGTGGAGGAGGAAGAAGGTGTGAGGGTGGTTGGCTATGGTGGATGGGTGGAGGTGGAGGAGGAAGAAGGTGTGAGGGTAGTTGGCTATGGTGGATGGTTGAAGGAGGTGGAGGAGGAGGGAGTGAGGGTGGTTGGCTATGGTGTTTGGGTGGAGGTGGAGGAGGAAGAAGGACAAAAGGTGGTTGGCTATAGTGGATGGGTGAAGGAGGTGGACAAGGGAGAAGGTGTGAAGGTTGTTGGCTATGGTGGATGGGTGAAGGAGATGGAGGAGGAAGGAGTGGAGGTGGTTGGCTATGGTGGATGGGTGAAGGAGGTCAGCTTTGGTGGATGGGTGGTGGAGGTGGAGGAAGAAGGAGTGAAGGTGGTCCCTAAGCTTCCGGTCGCGTGTTTGCGTTGTCTCAACGCCCGAACCATCAGAAAACTCAGACTTGCGGAATTCAGATTTGCAGCAGCGACTCTGACTTTGCAAAACTCATATTGCCACCAATTAATAGAGTGGAGATCATACTAACTACTTACAAAACGAAAATTGAAAAAGAACTTCAAAAAGTTATAAAACAGCGAGGCAAATGTGTGTTTTCATGCAAAATTCACTCACTTCAGTTTTCAGGATTTTCAGGATTTTTCAGGGCTAGCCAAAACAGTCAACTCCAAGACCCCAACAAACACCAAACTTGGCACACACAGACCTTGACCAAAAAAAAAACAGGGCAAAAAAAAAAAAAACAGAAAAAACTAAAAAAAACGATCTCCAATGCGCTTTTCAGGGTTGAGGGGGTTTAACCAGGGCTGAAAAGTGGGGGTCCTTGTTAACCGCTTGTGCCCAAACGGCCAACTCTGGAATGAGTTGGCAGCCCAAAATGGAAAGAAACAAAAGAGAAGAAAAAACAAAACTGTGCATTTGGCCCAAAAAGAGGGCCAGATGCACCAAAAATTGAAAAGGAAAGTTTAGGGGCTCAAATTTGAAGCAAGGGCTACTTGGGGGTGACACGGAATATTGTTGGCCTTGGATCTCAGCCAAATCCAAGGCTGAAAAAACACCGAGGCATGGGAAAATACCTCGGCCTACAAAAAATGGGGTAGAAACTGAAAAAAATCGGGGCCTTTTTCTCTCAAGTGAGGCTGCCCCTTGGGCATTAGGACCCAAGGGGGCAGCATTTTGAAAATGAAAAAGAGGCTGAAAGAGGCCAAGAGGCAATCCGAGTTGGTACCAACCACTCGGACTGCATGTACTTGGCCAAAATAAGGCCCGGGTACCTCTGGAAGGGCGTAGTGGTAGAATTTTGCCTTGGGGGTACCTCGGTTCACCCCAAGGCACATGGGGAGGCCCATGGGCTGGCCATAGTGCTGGTTTCAGCCTACATAAGTTGAGAATTCAGTCAGCCACACTCACATTTGCATGAGGTGTGCCTATGAAAAGCCCAAGTGAGCTCATAAGAGCACTTCCTCACTTGGAGAGAGGATAGGGGAACCCCTGCCAGTTTGGGAGCTTAGAGGAGACTGTGGACTAGTGGAGGGAGCTCTAGAGGTTAGTGGTAGTGAGGCTGGCCTAGGGAGGTGATCTGCCATAACCCCCAGGTTGTGAGGAAGGAGGAGAGGCTAGAGGGAGTCCCATCAACCCGCTGAGAGAGGAGGACTCCATAGCCATAGTGGAAAAAGCTTGCCATAGCTTAGGTAAGGTTGAGAGAGGAAGGAGAGAAGGGTTTGAGGAAGGAGAAAGCCATAGCCAAGGTGATACTTGTGCAAAGAAGGGAGAAGCTTCATCAAGGTTGGTGCTCCATCTCCAAGACACCAAGGAGGTGAGTGGAAAGGAGAAGATTTTTTTTTTTTTTTCTTTTTTTTTTCTTCTTCTTCTTCTCCTTCCTCCCTTATCTTCCTTCTCTCCTTCCTCTTCTTCTTCTTCTTCCTCTTCTTCTTCCTCCTCTTATTTATCTTCGTCCCCTTCTATTCCTTCTCCTACTCTCCCAATGATCTCTTATTCATATCCCACTCTCTTCTTCTTCACCCTCTCTCTCTTTCTCCATAGGAACTTTCCTAAGCTTAGACTAGATGGTAGGGAGCCTTCTCACTAGTAATGGTCTCCCTATATGCTTTTTCTTCACTCCCATGTGAATCGCTACTTCCCCGCTTGTGATATCATGCATTTGAGTGAGTTTCACTCGCGCTTTTCTCACTTTCTCTCCCCTTTTTCACCTAGGAGCAAATCGCAACTCTTGTCTATGCTTAATCTAGTGTTTTGATGATGATTGTTTCTTGTTTAGTCAATTTCTCCACTCCTATGTGAAACAC